TAAGTTCAAAGGATTTTTATCACATATACAGTATCTGAATCTGTTTTTTTTTCTCTTCATTGTTCGATCAAATTGTATTGTGTTGCTTAAATTATATATATCTCCATTAATTCTTGAGGAAGCTACTTTGCGGCAAAAAATGTTGAGGAAAGGAGCTTCAGATTTCAAACTACATCTAAAGAGCTGTGTCATTTTTCATGATTGTTATTTTATAACAGGGGACCGTTATGTGATGTGAATACAATACACTATTGTGTCTTTATTCACCCCGCATGGTTTTAATTTTGTATAACACTGTATATGTTTTGGCTATCTGATTGGACCTTAAACGCCCCCATTCTCTCTTGGGTTTTATCTATTTTATATGGTTTTTACTGATGGTAATCCATTATGTATTCATCACATGCTCAGTTATACCAGGCTTGTAGCAGACTTCAATTACATAGTTACATATAGTTACATAGTATTTGGGGTTGAATAAAGACATACGTCCATCAAGTCCAACCCATATAGGTCCACGCATCATCTCATTCTTAGGGATACTGGTATCCCTGGATATTACGGTCCCTCAAGAAATTGTCCAAACGTTTCTTGAACAAATCTACACGCTTGGCTGAAATCACTGCCGATGGCAGTGAGTTCCAGACCTTAACCGCTCTTACTGTAAAGAACCCTCTTCGCCCATTGTGCTGGAATTTTTTCTCCACCAACTTTAGGTGGTGGCCTCTAGTCTTTGTAATGGAGTTAATCTCAAACAGTTTGTTGCCAATGTTGCTGTCACCATTGAACATCTTGTACATGAAAATCATATCCCCCCTTAATCTCCTTAATTCCAGCGTAAACATGTTTAAGGTCAGAAGCCTTGTCTCATAGCTCTGGTCCTCCATTCCCCTAATTAGTTTTGTTGCCCTCCGCTGGACTCTCTCCAGTTCAAGGACATCCCTTCTCAGTACCGGCGACCAAAACTGGACCGCGTACTCCAGATGTGGCCGAACCAACGATCTATATAGAGGCCCAATTATAGACTTGTCCCTGCAATACATCCCCTTCTTAATACAGGACAAGACCCTGCTAGCTTTGTTTACCGCAGCTTGGCACTGCAAGCTACCATTCAGTTTGTGGTCTACAATGACCCCCAAATCTTTTTCTATTTCTGACTTCCCTAGCGGCATACCCATGATTGTATAGCCTATTTGTTTATTTTTATGTCCAAAGTACATTACTTTGCATTTATCGACATTAAACCTCATCTGCCACAGTATTGCCCACTCCCCTATTTTATCCAGGTCCTCCTGCAATGTTATATTGTCACGATCCGTTTCTAGTACCCTCCCTATTTTTGTATCGTCTGCAAACACGGAAACATGGCTATTTATTCCCTCCCCGATGTCATTAATGAATAGGTTGAACAGTATCGGACCCAGCACAGATCCTTGAGGCACACCGCTCATTACACTAGCCCAGTCCGAAAAGGTGCCATTTACAGATACTCTCTGGACACGTTCCCGTAGCCAGTTCTCTATCCACGTACACACCACCTCATCTATGCCCATAGCCCTCAGCTTGTGAAGTAAGCGCTTGTGTGGTACCGTATCAAATGCCTTTGAGAAATCCAGGTATACCACATCTACCGGCTTCCCTCCATCCATATCTCTGCTTACCCCCTCATAAAAAGTTAGCAAGTTAGTCAGGCAGGAACGGTCTTTCCTGAACCCATGCTGATTGTCATTAACTATGCCCTTATCCTTAACAAATTTTACCAAATAGTCCTTAATTATACCTTCTAACAGTTTACAAACTACCGATGTTAGACTGACCGGCCTATAGTTCCCTGGTTGGCATCTAGCCCCCTTTTTGAATATTGGAACTACCGTAGCCCTCCGCCAATCACATGGTACCCTACCAGTCACTAAGGATTCCTTAAAAATTAGGAATAATGGTCTTGTTATAACCTGGCTTAATTCCTTAAGTACCTTGGGGTGAAGGTTATCTGGTCCAACTGCTTTATTTGCATTGAGCATTTTAAGTCTATGTTCTATTCCGCTTTCCGTCAACCATTGTGGTATATTATCGGTTGAACTATGTGTTTTATCACGTACGTCGAACCCGTTTCCCTCCTGAGTGTATACTGAGGAGAAAAAATTGTTCAGCGCCTCGGCCCTCTCCTTGTCACTTGTGAGTAACTTCCCGTT